TAATATATCAATGAGATACCTGACAAATATTACCGATCCAGGCAAAGTGCTGCCATTGCAAACATATTACATATACAACGTAAGTAACAGCCCATTTTACGAGACAACTTTCATCCTACAAGGTTTTAGTTTGATGATAACCTCATCTGTGTACACCGGCACGGATTCCTTCATGGGTTATCTGGTCTTCCATATTTGTGGTCAACTTGAAAACTTCAGGACACGTATTCTTAATCTGGATAAATTTAGTCACTTTGAAGAAGCACTATCTTCTAGCGTGCAGGATCATATACGTCTTATCAGGTTCAGTACACTGATGAAACAAAAAAAAAGTTTACAAATAAATCAAATAAATTTGACAGAAATTATAAAGTATTTTCTAAAGCATTAAATTCTTCTCTGTTTACTCTACAATCCATCAAGTCTTGTTAAAACAAGAGGAAAATGATTTGTTAATATTATTAGCAAAAGATTTTTTTAGTAATAAGTTATTAATATATATACACACACACACACACACACATATATATATATATATATATATATATATATATATGTATAATAATTTTAATAAACTCAAAATGTAATGATCATAACTGACACAATGCAAATTATATAATTTTTTTAAATTTTAGGTACATAATATTGCATAAGTTTTATTTATATATATCATAAAATATCAAAGTTGCTATTTATTATAATTAGAAAGGAAATTTTATTTTACTTTTTATTTATATTAAAAAATATAGAAAAAAATGAGTAAAAAAAAATCATAATCATATTATACCGTACTAACTATCGCTTACAGATGTATTAAAATCATCGACAATACATTTAACTTGATGCTGCTTAGTCTGCTGGTTTATTTTGGCATACTTTTTGCTCTGTTTGGATTTTTATTTATCACCGCAAGTATATTTTCTAACTTGTATTTATATACATTTCTTCATTTGTGCAATTTGAATGCCAAAATTTACAATTAGAACTTAATATCCATATTCTTATCTATCTTATTCTTCAAATAATATATCTATTATTTTATTAAAATTATTTAATGTATTATACTTATAAATTAGATTTATTTCAAATTGCACAACATAATGTGTATGTATTCATGTCACTTTAAAGAATTACGAATGTTACTACATATGTAAAAAACGTAATTATAATGATAATTAATTGTAAATACTTTATTACTTTTCGACAACTTATTTTTAAAATATTTTTTTTCTGAAAAGAAATAGAAACAATACAATCTAATTTTTAATATTTTAAACTTCTCCTATTAAACCTGATTATGTTAACTATTTATTTATATTTATCTCTTTAAATACAACAATTTCTTAAAAATGTTTAATTACATTTAGTCATTTTTACTGCGCAGATAACGACACAAGGTCGCAATCTCTCCATTGCTCGACTCATTTACATCCTGACGGCTTTCATTACGGGGTTCACACATATGTGTCTTTATTGTGTGATAGGCGAATTTTTAGTTATTCAAGTAAGTATTGATATTTTAAAATATTAGATATATTTTTCATGACTTGTCGTTATTATACATAACATGAGTATATTATAATATTCATGTATGTTATTTATTTAAATATTTAATAAATTTAATACTAAATTTCTATCTTAATGTGATTGTTTTTTGGATACTGTTTATCAAGTGTGATGGGATTTACGAGGCTACTTATCACTATAAGTGGTATAATCTAAAGCCGAGGCAGACCAGAAATCTGTTGATTATAATGATGCTAGCTAATAAACCACTGCACCTTACTGCAGGAAAACTCTTTCCTATGACGATGGCTACATTTTGCAATGTAAAATATATTATAAATTAACTTAATCATTTGCACAGTACAAATTAAATTCTCTCTAATAGCATTTTACAAAGATACATTGTAGAACAAAGTAGATATTAAATATTTTTTTACTAACATTTAAAATTAGAAATTACTAAACATATATTTAAAAAAATTAATTGGAAATATAAATTAAAATTCTCAATAACAGTATAATTACTGATTGATACGCGAACAGTGAGAAAATTTAATATTATTTGAAGTAATGAAATATCCATCTAATTATTTGTATAATTTTATTATATTTTAGCTGTTAAAAACATCGGGTGGTTACATATCGGTTTTACTGGCACATCGTAATTAAACTGTAGACATTTAATTGTATAAAACAAATCCCCAATAATTTTAAAAATAAAAACAAATTACATAGTATAATTTTAACTAACAAGATTATTATTATATGTTTATTGTAAAGTACGACGGACTTTACGAAGCCGCACGCGAGTATAAATGACGCAACTTGGAGCCAAAAAAGACAAAAAATCTATTAATGATGCAAAGTTTTAATAGATCGCTGCATCTTACTGTGGAAAAACTATTCCCTGTGACGATATCTGTAGATACGTATTGATAAATTGTATCTTATTGCACGGTTACATCTAACTGTTCATCTAAGGTCAAGCTATATAACTTCGCTAGAGCATCATGAAAGGAGAACTGTTTAAAAGTTTTCAATTTTATAAAGAAATTTTATTCCTTTCTCGTAGCTTCAGTGAAATGAGACAATAGATAAATGCGATGCAGCAGGATCGGTTTTAGAAATTTCCAGTCATAAACATTCTAAAATCGTAAAAATTTTCTTATCTTCTTTGAAGTTCTACATAACATTCTACATAAGAATGCAATAATCTAAATAAACTTGTTAAAACGGTAATTACGAATTTAATAAATTTTTAAAAATCATCTTTTTTATAATATTTTTATATCTATATTTTTTAAAAGTAGATTTAAGTTTTAATTAGCAAAAATGTATATAATTTAATTGTATTTTCAAGCCTACTGCGTGAACATTCTTAAGTTTGTTATATACTTCATATGCGGCCCTGTGCCTATAGTGTCTGTATTTTCCATTCGCATTCGAGCTGCTTATTTCTTATTATGCAAAGGGTATATTTATGGAGGGTGCGTGAGCTTGTTGAATGGTTGAGTTAAACCCTGCAGTTTTACCATTTCAATAATCTATAAGCACAAATGTATATTGTGATGTCTATGGTTGCGTCGTGTGAAAAACAGACGTCTCTCTGTAGCCGTCAACATGAATGTTTCGGGATATACATATATGGACGTAATTTGTATATTTATATATATCTTTTGAAAAATTTTTTACCGGAAATTTTAAAACGATAAAATAGTTGAAAGTATATTTACAATATAAATTATTTCTTAAATTTGATTTTTGTAATAATTAATTTCCATTTAATTGTATTTTTTGGTAAATAAATCGTTTCATTACTTATTGCAAAGATGTGCGTATCGATTATATAGTTATAGACTGTGTACACGTAAATATGTAAATTATAAAAATTACAATATTTTATTCACTTAACGTTACAAATATCGGTAATAACACACGATTGCTCATGAAGTAAATAAAGATATGATAAGTTCTAGTATCTTAATATCATTCTTAATTCAATATTATTTAATTACGATCTCTGTACTAATGATCTTGTCAGCGATAACAATTGAATGGCACACTAATGCTATTCACAGCTGTGTACATTTGTTGATACGCGCGTAGGTATATAAATTGTACCATACGCATTACCATTTGCTTCGAAAAATTTGCCAGGCACAGTGTGAAAGCAGATCTACGAAATGAAGCAGTTAGCGTGTATCCTCATCGCATTGGCGATCGTAGGTAAGTCACACATCGGGAACTTGTGTCGATAACAATTTGTGTGACAATTTAAAACAAGTTCTATATAATTAAATTTTGTTTTTAATACTTAATTTATCTTATAAATAATATCTTATAAAAGCATTGTACATTATATTTTAATTTTTAATATTGCATGTATAAAACTATAAATTGCATATAAAATACATAATTGTGTAATTGCATTACTGTACAATATGCTTCACCATATTTCTATTGTACTTTTTTATCGATTTTATTATTTTTTATCGCATTTTTTTATTATTTCTATTGTACTTATACATTTATTAGCTCTACCCTATTGGTTTTAAATTTTGTATAAAAATAGAAACAAAAATTACACAGCCACACAAAAAAAATTATTTTCTGGCCTGGGAGTCAGGCCATGTTTCGTATATGTTTTTGGGGTCGCTGAAACCGAATCCGAAGTCCATTTTACCCCATCACGTCAGGTTTTTGACATCAGTGTCTCGCCTGTGTCTGCATCCAGGGCACCTCCACGTGGTGACGGCGGGCAACGGAGCAATTCCGTTATCCGGCTGAGTCCCTGGATTACGGCGTCATGGCAGGCACAGGTGGAAAACGTTTAACGAGACAAGGATTCGGATACCCAGAATCGACGGCTGGTCAGGGTGAGATTGCGGGCCCGCAGGCGTCGTCATCATGCGACCGCAGCTCTACATTGGTTGGTGACTTGGCTAATGTAGAGTTGAATACTACTACAAGAAAAAAGGGCGAAGTCGTCTCGCAATCACATAACTGTGATTCAGATTATCACGTCTTTTGTTATATTTGCTCCAAGTTATGTTAAAAACCTGACGTGATGGGGTAAAATGGACTTCGGATTCGGTTTCAGCGACCCCAAAAACATATAATAAACATGGTCTGACCCCCAGGCCAAAAAATAATTTTTTTTGTGTGGCTGTATTATTTTACTTTCTCTTATGTCATAAAACATATAAAATTGAATATAGATATATTAAATATACAATTCGCAAGAATTTCTTTTTTAGATAAGTAACATGATAATCAAATGCAAATAATTCTGATTGATAATGAGGGTAATAACGTTTTGATATGCACTTACAATTAATTTTACTATACGTTTACAGGTGCTTATGGCGATGAACCAGACAAGTTAGTAAATGGAATACCCGCGAACATAGAAGACTATCCGCATTGTGTCTCCATAAGGGTCGACAACACCCACTTTTGCGGCGGTAGCATAATTGACAAACAGCACATTCTAACTGCCGGGCATTGCGTAGCGCCTCTAATTCAGGACTCCCGTCTAAGGAAATCTGTGACCGTTGTTACTGGCACAACCTACCTCAATGAAGGTGGACAGAGTCATAAGGTGGAAAAACTGTGGTATCACGATGATTATAATCCTCGCGCCAGTAGAGGCAATTATGACATCGGTTTGATAAAGGTACAATCTTAAAATAAAGTAAGCAACCTTGAAATCAAAAAATACATACATGTTATAATATATTAGCTTATAACGCATTTGTGATATGCATGTTTAGTATACTTTCCGATATATTAGTGACAAAAGTAATGATATACAGACGTCAAATAAATGAAGCACGCTTTAATCATTCTCACTGTTTGGTTCATTAGTATAAATTACTTTTAGTTGGCTTCACCCATTGAGTTTGGTCCAACACAACAGCCAATTAAGCTCCCAACGACGACTATAGAAAAGGATGATGACGTCACGATTGCAGCCTGGGGTTCTAGGGGCTTCAGAAAACCTGTACATAACAACTTGCAGAAGTTGAACGCGAAAGCAATGCTTCCGGATACGTGCCAGGCTTATCACAAATTCTTAATGAACATTCACAAGGACGAGTTCTGTACCCTCATCACTTATGGAACTGGATTGTGCAATGTATGTAGCACGATAACATTTTATATCATAGTTATATCTAGCTGTAATAAGCATTCTCAAAGTAGAATTTTTATATCCCTCATTTTTCTTTTTATCATCTTAATAATTTATAACAATAATAACGCTAAATTATTGGAATTCTGCCATCTTAAATAATGATTTTTTATTCAGCATAACGCGTAAGATATTGTCAAACTCATATAAGGAACAGTACGGTAATGGTTTCCATTTTTCTGTTGCAGGGTGACAGCGGTAGCGGACTGATTCGAAACAGCGACAGAACAATTATCGGTCTGGTGTCTGGTGGAAGACCGTGCGCCAGGGGTTATCCAGATGTATACACCAATGTTTATTCCTATCTTTCTTGGATCGAAGGAAAAATGAACTACTAACATTTTTCTTCATGTATCCTATTCTTAATATTTAATAAAGATTATTGAGCAAATATATCTTTTATTATATGTATATATTATTATTAAAGTACATTATTTGTGTAGCTCTTACTAAATTCTCAATATTATATGTGCGTGCAAAAAACAGCTGATACTTGAGTTTTTTTTTTACATGTTTATTTCGACAAAATAATAAATTATTAATTTATTATCAAGTTATTTGGTTAAATCTTTAATATCAATTAAATTTTATTTTAATTAAATAATTAAATATAACCATTTATTAGAAGAAACAGAGTGGGCATCTTTCAGAGTTACTTCACTAGTCAAATATGGGACAAATCGCTGTCCACGGATGTATATGTTAACACATGGCTATAAAACGGACACCTGTTTCGTACTTTAAGTTTTGTTTTCGAAGTTGAATGACACTTTAGTGATAAATCAATAATACGGCATAACAAGATCAGTTTAAAAATTTTCAAAACAAACAAAACTAATGAATGAAAGAAATCGTATTTTTTCTTCCAAACAAATTGATTCTATATATAAGAAACAAACAAATTTTAAGAAAATAATATAGTTGGACATATGCAATATAAATTATTTCTTAAACATTGATTTTTTTTTAATAATTTAATTTCAATTTAATTATATTTTTTAGCAAATAAATCGTCTTATTACTTTTATTGCAAATATGTGTATTATATAGGTAATTACATTGTGTATACATAAATGTGTAAATCTTTTAGTCCGTTTTTTTTACATATATTTTTCTAATAGATTTTTATAATATTTATCTTGCAAGTATCTTGCAAGTATATCATAAATTATAATTGATACCATTAATATATTATTAATATCTTAACTTGTGTATTTAACACTGATGACTGTTCTTCACTCAAATTCCAAAAATTAAATACTTCTATTCTATTTATCATTCATTTGTTTAGATGGTGACTCAAGGTTGAGATCTGTTAGTGACGACAGTGTCTCGTTTAACTTTCATTATGACGGTATCTGATGTCAATACATTTGTATACACATGTCTTTATTACGCTGTAAGACAAATTTTGATCGCACAAGTACGTTATTTCCTTGGTTAACTTACACATAAAATATAAATTATATAGTGCTAATGAAGATACTTGGTCTATTTAATAGATGTATAGTCTAATACTCTAATATAATTTTGTATATGACTACTTTGGTCAGGTGTTACGTAACATTTTGTACAATAAATAAAAATATTTAAAGTAAAAATGTGAAATAAAATGAATAAAAAATATTCTTTTACACAAATAAAATGCATAAATTAATAGCTAAAACGTGAAAAATATTATTAATTTTTAGATTATAATTCCAGGAATTGAAATTATTTAATCGCTAAACTGTGCATTGTATAAATTAATAATATATGTATATATAAAGCACATCAAACATAGTTAATTAATTAAGTCATTAATTAAGTTAATTTTTCATACATTTTCTATAATATATTATATTTTTAGTTGTTAAGAACATGGTGATTATATATCGGTTTTGCTGGACATGGAGAAAAACAGAAATCTATAAAAATCAGATAAAAATTTAATTTTACTCATATCAAGAAGTAATTTATTTATATTTATATAATCCAGATTTAAATCTAAATATGATAAAGTTTATTATTATATGATACATGCATGTCTTATTTACTTGTGAAAAACTTGTCAAATACATGATGTACAATGTTGTTGCATTATTGTGATTTAAACCATACATTTCTTTCAATGCTATAGAGAGATTTCATCAAAGTAAAACCAATAATATTTTATTACTGTTAAAATATGTTATTATTAGATGTATGATAACTTGGATTATTTTTATAAAAATATGTAACATTTTATTCGCTTAACTTACAAATATCAGTCATAATGCACGATTGCTCATGAATTGAATAAAGATATGAACATTTTAATATCGTTCTTAATTCAATACCGCATAACTTCGATTTCCACGATAATCTCGTTATAATGCAATAAAAATGGAATAATTAATATTATTCACAGCTGTGTACATATTTCGATACGTATATAAATTGTGCCATACGCATTGGCCAATACTGTGTTTCCCAAAGTTTGCGAGACACGGTGTAAAAGCAGACCTACGCAATGAAACAAATATCGTGTATCCTGATCGCATTGGCGACCATCGTGGGTAAGTAAAATATCAAAAACTTGATAACGTATTTTATGGCAATTTAATAAGCTCTATATAATTAAATTTGATTTTTTAATATTATAATTAATTTACCTTGTAAAAGCATTATACATTATATTTCATTTTCATATATAAAAACTATATAGATTATATAATTGCATAATTGCATACTGTACAACATGCTTAATCGTCACCATATTCTCATTGCATTTATCATATTGTGTTGTATATATTAAAATACTTTTGAAAAAAATTATTAATACATTGTGTGTGTATGAGAGGTGTTTGAAACTACTTTATTATACATTTGCAGCCGTTTATGGCGATGAACCAGAGCAGTTGGTGAATGGAATACCAGCGAACATAGAAGACTATCCGCATTCCGTCTCCATAAGGGTCAACAACAACCACATTTGCGGCGGTAGCATAATTGATAAACAATACATTCTAACTGCCGCGCATTGCGTGGTGCCTCTAATTCGCGATTCCAAAAAAATGCAATCTACGACCGTTGTTGCTGGCTCGGCCTACCTTAATTCAGGTGGAAAGGCTTATAAAGTGCAAAGACTCTGGATCCATGAAAATTATAATCCCAACAGCCCTTCGGGTAGAGCCCCTTATGACATCGGTTTGATAAAGGTACAATTTTACAATATACTATTATATTATAATAAAAATAATACGTACTTTTTTAATCACACTTCTACAGTCCAGTTTATTAATATAAAATATTTTTAGCTGACTTCACCCATTCAATTTGGACCAAAAGTACGGCAAATTGGGCTTCCAAGAAGGAATATAGCAGAGAATGACGGCGTTACGATTGCAGCATGGGGTGCTATGGGCCTCGGAAAACCCATACATAAAAACTTGCAGAAATTGTACGCAAACGCCATGCTTCCGCAAGAATGCCAGCAATATCATGGAAACTCTATGCTCATTCATAACAACGAGTTCTGTACCCTCATCAGCTACGGAACTGGATTGTGCACTGTACGTAACATTACATTACATTTAACAGAATGCTCGAACGCATATCTGATTTTATTGTTGCGTGTTTTTTATATTTAATATTTTTCGTCTGTAAACATAATACATTTTGCAATAACTTTTGTTCAATCACGACGCTATATACCGAACATTATTCGCATTACAATATTACATTCCTCGTATCTTGTATAGGATAATATTTGACATCACAATTAATTCATATTTAAAATAACATTAATTCTCAAAGTAGGATTCTTATATAATTATTTCTTTCTTTATCATCTTAACTGTTTATAGAAATGATAACGCTAAATTACCGGAATTCTGCGGTCTTAAATAAATTGCCAATTTTGGATTTAACGTAACATGAAAGATATTATCAATCTCATTCATATAAGGGATACTAATCTTCATTTACAACAATAAATAATCTCCATTTTTTTGTTATAGGGTGACAGCGGTAGCGGACTGCTTCGAAATAGCGACAGAACCATTGTCGGTCTGGTGTCTGGTGTAAGACCGTGCGCCATTGGTTATCCCGATGTATACACTAATGTCTATACCTTCGTTCCTTGGATCCAACAAAAAATGAGGCTCTAGTAACATCTTTCTTTATGTATTACGTATTCTTAATATTTAATAAAGATCATTGAGCAAATTTCGACCATCATTAGTCATCATTTACATAAATCAATCATTTACATAAATCTAAACGTATAGTAGAAATCTTTTATTATATGTTATTATTAATGTACATATTGGTTTAGCTTACTAATGTGCGCATGCAAAAAAATAGCTGAAAAATTATTTGAGTTTTTTTTTCATCCTTAATTTGACAGAATAATAAGTTATTAATTTATCAAGTTATTTAATTAATTGTTTAGTATCAACTAAATTATGTTAATTAATAAAAAAATTATTGAATTTAATATGCAAATTAATATAAAAGTTATTACGTAATACCAAAAGAAATCAAAAGTAATATGTTTGTTAATGATATCTAGAAATATTTGACGTATAAATTATTTAATTTTTTAATATCTTTTTGAAGTCATAGATTTATATAATCTCGACCATACCCCATTATGCCCCGCGGTCCCGTTATGCCCCGGGTTTCACTATTTATTTTTCAGATATTTTAATATCGTTGAAAGTACATTCACTTTATTACAACTCGGTTTACTACATTACTATTATTTGGTACATTAGTTTTTCTATAAGCATTTTTATTAGTCGCGGTAAGTTACAAAAAGAAAATCAGCTGCTTGTCTTGAATATACATAATAATGAATTAGCATGTAAAGATGTGAGTCTAACGTCAAAATTCTTTAAAGTTGCAAATACAAAAATCTCGGCTGTTTTATTCTTCTAAAACTTATATTAATTATTAAAAATATAAATAACGTTTACCACATTTTGCATCTAGAATATTTAATCCTAAATAGTACATTAATATATCTTTAACGCCAAACGAAAAACGATGCGACAAAAGAATTTATTTCTTTTTTGATTTCTTCTTTTGTGTTATTTATTGCACTACTCTGAATGTATAAAACATTTGTTATTCTCGTAAATAACGATGTACAAAGATGTTAAAATGTTTTCACGATTATGTCGTACTACATAAATCGAATCGAATACATTGTTGCCCCTTTCCCGCTTATTGATTCTCTCCCTTGACTCGCTTCGTGCTGCGAAAGTCAAACGCACGCATTAAGTATTATTCACTAATTCCGCTAATGTGTTTCGACACAGTGCATCAAGATTCATAAGTGTTTTAGTCTTATATTTCGCTCATTCAGAGGTAAACGTGTCATAGTGCATCGTAATCACTTACCCTTACTAGATAAGAAAAACCGTAGAACTGTGATATTACTTTTCTCTATCTAAATACTTCATCCCGCGAGCGAACAGGCATCCGTAACATTATTAATCCGTGAGTTGCATGTGGTTATTATGAGTTCTATGTTACAAAGTTATCTGTATAGTAATGTTAAGCACGTTTCCTTCAATCAGCAGACACACCACTCGCGTAATTTTAACTACAAAGATATTTGATGAAAGATACAAGCCATCGAATAACCGTTTCGCGTACATCCGAGCGCGACAACGCAACTGTCAAGGTCAAGTGTCAGTCCTGTCACTGTCGCGTTACCATAGGATACTGTACATACACAGGATACTATAGACACCGCGCGCATGGGTAGTCGGAGGATTTTTGTGGTGGTGGAGGACGGTAGCACACCCCCATACGTAGAATGCGCATGTCTCGTCGTTGCCTGGACAGAAAAGAGGGATGATACGACAGGATAGCATTAAAGTCCAAGCGAGAAATTTGCTGCAAAAACTGTCGATAATTTTACGACGTACATTTCAGATGAACTCTATAAACTTGGGGTATAAAGAGAACAGGGACGCACGATAATTTCCTGAATTTAAAGAAGACCAGAAAAACTCAAAAGATTATTCAGCTTCAGCTAAGCTTATAATAAAGTCAGTTATAGAAAGTCACTTATAACAATAATTAAAAGTTCTAAAGATTGTTGTAATTAAGATAATTTTTCATTTAATAACTAAATAAATTTGTGTTGATCTGTTTGTTATAATAATAAATCAATTTGCATCATATACTTGATACATTATGTAGTACCGATTCTCTATGTTATTAGATTTCTCTACTGTTATTATAATCACATAAATGTAAGGAACATTTACAGTTGCGGCCCTATCATCTGTCATAGCCTGTTAGTCGTTTCAGCCTACTCCATTATGAAACTATAGCATCTGGTAGTTGTCGCTGAAGTGTGAATCGACATTTGTAACATTCAGGGTTCTCTACACTCCGTAGAACGATCGCAAAGTTTGCAAACTTATATACGGAAGAAATTGCTCTCTTAAGATATATTCCTCTTCCGGAAAAACATTGCAACATATATTAGTCTCAACATGGATGTCATTGAGTTTGATAAAAACGCAGGTGCTTGGAATAATTATATTAAAAATAAATCGTAACTTATGCTTGTAAATATTAAAATTACTAGAAAGACTATCGACATTCTACATATTCTCTTAAATTAATAACTATCTACATATAAAAACTTATGTCAAAATACAATGATATATTTACAAAATCGATAAAAAAAATTTTTCAGAATATTAT